GTTCACAGCAATATTATCCACAATAGCCAAGATATGGAAAAACCTAAATGTCAGTTGATGCATAAATGGATAAAGAAGATGTGGTCTATATATACAATAGAATACTACTCAGACATAAAAAAATAATAAAATATTGTCATTTGTGACATGGTTGGACCTGGAGGGTATTATGTTAAGTGAAGTAAGTCAGAAAGAGAAAGACAAAAACAGTACAATTTCACTCCTATGTGGAATCTAAAAATAAACAAAGCAAAAACAAACTCATAGACACAAACCACAACAGATTGGTGGTTACCAGAAGGGAAGGGGGTTTGTCAGTGGTGAAATGGATGAAGGGGGTCAAATATATGCTGATGGATGGTAACTAGATTTTTGGAAGTGATCACTTTGTAGTGAATGCAGATGCTGAATTATAATATTGTATATCTAAAAATTATATAATGTTATATACCAATCTTACCTCAAAATATCAGAAACAAAAACAAAGAACAATGGCAATGAATAAAAAAACAGTAACACATATGATAGATATTAATCCATCTATGTCAATAATCCACTTTAAATGTCAATGGCTTCAGTACATCAATTAAAAGACATAGACTATCAGAGTACAATAAAAAAATAAGACCTAACTCAGGGTGCCTGGGTGGCTCACTCAGTTAAGTATCAGACTTAGGCTCAGGTCATGATCTCACAGTTTGTGAGTTTGAGCCCCGTGTCAGGCTCTGTGCTGACAGCTCAATCCTAGAGCCTGCTTTGGAATCGATTCTGTCTCCCTCTCTCTGTCCCTCCTCCACTCGCACTCTGTCTCTCCCTCTCTCTCTCTCTCAAAAATAGACATTAAAAATTTTTTTTAAATATTAAAAAAATAAGACCTAACTACATGTGGTCTACAAAAAAACCCCATTTTAACTATGAAAACAGAGAGTCAAAGAAAAGGGATGGAGAAAGATATAGCGTGCTAATGTTAATCAAAATAAAGCTGGAGTAGCTATATTAATTTCAGAAAAAGAAGACTTCAGAGCAAGGAAAATTATCAGGGATAAAGAGGGTCATTACATAATGATAAAGGGGTCAATTCTCCAAAAGACCCAATGTTGTTAATGTGTATGTCCCTAACAAAAGAATGTCCAAATATATGAGATAAAACCTGATAGACAAAGAAAAATAGATCAATCTATTACTAAAATAGTAGTGGACAGATCCAGCAGCAGAAAATAGTAAAGACAGAGTTGAAATAACAGTACCATTATTCAACTAAATGCAATTGACATCTATACAATACTTTATCAAACAACATCAAAATACACATTCTTCTCAGCCTCATATGGAACATTCACCAAGACAGAACACATTCTGGATCATAAAACACACTTTAACAAATTTAAAAGAAGAGAAATCATACAAAGTATTCTCTCTGACTACAATAGAATTAAGCCAGAAATCAGTAACAGAGAGATAGCTAGGAAACCCCCAAATACTTGGCAATTAAACACACTTCTAAGTAATATATGGCTCAAAGAAGTTTCAAGAGAAATAAAAAAATATTTTGAATGAAATAAAAATGAAAACACAACTTATTCAGATTTGTGGAATGCAGCAAAAGTAATGCTCAGAGGGAAATTTAGAACACTGAATTCATTTATTAGAAAAGAAGATAAATTTAAAATCAATCATTTGGGTTTCCACCTTAAGACACTAGAAAAAGAAGATCAAATTAAATCCAAAGTAAGCAGAAGTGAAGAAATAATAAAAATCAGAGAAGAAATTTATGAAATTAAAACAAGTCAATAGGAAAAAAAATCAATAAAACTAAAATCTGGTTCTTTGAAAAGATCAATAAAATTGATTAACCTCTAGCCAGGATAACTAAGGAAAAAAGTGAGAAGACACAAATTACACATATCAGAAATGAAAGAAGGGCCATCATTACTAATTCCATTGACATAAAAAGATAATAAAGGAATATTATGAACTGTATCTCCTCAAATTTGATAACCTACCCGAAATGGATCAATTCTTTGGAAAATACAATCTGCCAAAATTCACAGAAGGAGAAACAGATAATCTGAATAGACCTTGTGTTAGTGTACTCATGCTGCCTTAACAAAGTATTATATACTGGATTGCATAAATAATGCAAATTTAGGGGCGCCTGGGTGGCGCAGTCGGTTGAGCGTCCGACTTCAGCCAGGTCACGATCTCGCGGTCCGTGAGTTCGAGCCCCGCATCAGGCTCTGGGCTGATGGCTCGGAGCCTGGAGCCTGTTTCCGATTCTGTGTCTCCCTCTCTCTCTGCCCCTCCCCTGCTCATGCTCTGTCTCTCTCTGTCCCAAAAATAAATAAACGTTGAAAAAAAAAATTTAAAAAAAAAATTTATTAAAAAAATAAAAAAAAATAAAAAAAAAGAAACTAGAAACTTTCCCACTAAGATCAGTAACAAAACAAGGATGTCCCTTTTCATCATTTCTTGTCAATATCATACTGAAAGTCCTAATACAATAAGAAAAAAAGATGTATTGCCTTTGTTTGTGGATAACATGATTATCTACGTAGAAAATCCAAAAATCTGAAAGAATTGACAACAAACTCCTAGAACTAATATGCAATTATATTAGCAAGGTTGCAGGATACAATGTTAATATACAAAAATCACTTTCATATAGATCAACAAGTGGAATTTTAAATTAAAAACACAATGCCATTTGCATTGGCACTCAAAAAGTGAAATACTTAGATATAAATTGAACAAATCATGTACAAGATCTATGTGAGAAAAACTATGACAATGTGATGAAAGAAATCAAAGAACTAAAGAAATGGAGAGATAATTCCATGTTCATGAATAGGAAGAATCAATATTGTCAAGGTGTCAGTTCTTCCCAATTTGATCTATAGATTTAATGCAATCTCATGCAAAATCCAAGCAAGTTATTTTGCGTATAATTGACGGAGTTATTCTAACATTTATACAGAGGGGCAAAAGACCAAGAATATCCAACACAATATTGAAGGAGAAGAACACAACTGGAAAACTGACATCACTGGACTTCAAGGCTTACTATAAAGCTACAGTAATCAAAATAGGGTTGTGTGGGTAAAAAAATAAATAGACAAATCAATGGAACAGAATTTTGTGAATACTGACAAACTGATTTTCTATAAAGTTCACTTTATATGAAGAGACATAAGACTCAGAATAGCCAAAACAATATTTAAGAACAAAGCCTAGGACTGACACTACCTGACTTCAAGACTTAGTATAAGGCTAATTAAGTCAATACTACAAAAAAACACAAATAGATCAGTGATACGGAATAAAGAATTTAAAAATACACCCATAGGGGCGCCTGGGTGGCACAGTCGGTTAAGCGTCCGACTTCAGCCAGGTCACGATCTTGCCGTCCGCGAGTTCGAGCCCCTCGTCAGGCTCTGGGCTGATGGCTCAGAGCCTGGAGCCTGTTTCCGATTCTGTGTCTCCCTCTCCCTCTCTCTCTGCCCCTCCCCCGTTCATGCTCTGTCTCTCTCTGTCGCAAAAATAAATAAACGTTGAAAAAAAAAATTTTTTTTAAATAAATAAATAAAAATACACCCATAAATAGAACCACCTGATCTTTGACAAAAAGCAAGGGCAGTACAATGGAACAAAGACAGTCTTTTCAACAAATGGTGCTGGAACAGCTGGATGTCCACCTGCAATAATAATAATAATAATAATAATAATAATAATAAATTTAGACAGAGACCCTTCACAAAAATTAACTCAAAATGAATCATAGACATAAATGTAAAATGCAAAACTATAAAATTCCTAGAAGATTACATAGTAGAAAATCTAGGTGACCTTAGGTATGGCAATGATTTTTTTTATATATAACACCATGACCATGAAAGAAAGAAGCTGGACTTCATTAAAATTTAAAACTTCTGCTCTGCCAAAGACACTGTCAAAAGGAGAAGGAAAGCCACAGACTGAGAGAGAATATTTGCAAAAGGCATACCTGATGAAGGACTGTCATCAAACTCAACAATAAAAAATGAACAATCAAACTGAATCAAAAGTGGCCAAAAGACCTAACAGATACCTTACCAAAGAAGATATAAGGATGGCAAATAAGCATACAAAACATTAACAGTATCATGTGTCGTTAGCAAATTGTAAATTGAAATGAGAGAACAATACATATCTATTAGAATGGTCAAAATCCAGAATGCTGATAAGACCAAATGCTGGCAAGGATCTGGAGCAACAGGAACTCTTACTCATTGCTGGTGGAATGCAAAATGGTGCAGCTACTTTGGAAGAGAGTTTCTTAAAAACTAAAAATACTCTTACCACATGACTCAGCAGTCTTTGGTAATTAAATGAGTTGAAAACTTATGTATATACAAAAACATACACACAAATGTTTATAATTTTATGGTTAATATTCAAAACTTGGAAGTAATCAAAATGTTTTTCAGTAGGTGAATAGATAAACTGTGGTACATCCAGAAAATGGAATATTATTTCGTGCTAAAAAGAAAGAAGCTATCAAGTCATGAAAAAACATGGAAGGGCCTTAAGTGCATATTATTAAGTGAAAGAAATCAATTTGAAAAGGCTCTATTTCTTTTTTTTTTTTAAGTAATCTCTACACCCAATGTGGGGCTTGAACTCAAAACCCCAAGGTTAGGAGTTGCATGTCCTACCAATTGAGCCAGCCAGGCACCCTGAAAAGACCTCTATTTCTTGACCTGGTTGGTGGTTACACAGACTTCTGCTTTATAAGAATTCATTGAACTGTACATGAATATTTTGTTGACTTTTACGTGTGACTCACATTTTAAAAATATAATAAACATCCAAACACCAATACTATTATAGAGAAATGTACAAGAAAAATCATGACTTAACCAGAGCAAAAACATGGTATCTTTCTGTGAGAAACCATCCTCATAGATTAGTTTCCCCATGCAAGTTTTTAAAATAAATAAATTAAGATAAAGCAAGTAACTTACAGAAGAAGATTGGCACATAATAAAAAGGAAAACAGAAGCTTGTCCTTCTCAAATAGTGATCGGCATATATTACAATATAAGTTGTATGTGAAGTGGTCATTTAAATATCGTAGGCGCTTTTCCAAAATTTTGGATTTGTTACTGAAAGGTTGAAAAACAGGCAAATATACTGTCAAACAAAACTAAGAAAAAATAAGTAAAAGATGAACTAACATATAAGTAGCCACTGTTAAACACACACACACACACACACACACACACACACACACACGAGTGCATATAAAATGGTGAAATCTGAGGAAGTTCTGTGAATTTCCTGGTTGTGATATTGTACTATAATAATGTAAAACTGTTACCACAGGAGACACTGAGTGAAGGATACATATGGGGCCTCCCTGTGTAGTTTTGTGTGTGTGCAACTTCTTCTAAATTTATATGTAAAAGACAGGGTATAAGACTAATGAGAAAATAAAATAGGGTTTATACCATCTGTTTTCAAAATTCTGAACTTATTATATTCCAAAATGACTGAAAATAATCACTAAATTAAGATACTTGCTGAATCTCTATTGGCGTGAATTTTTTTCTGGGTAGGGGACTATAAGAGATAAAGAATTATGAAATATTTACCTGTCCCAAAGAAGCATTAAATCTAGATCAAGATGTATACATTTAAAAAAAAAAAAAA